GTTATAGTAAATCCGTCACATAATGAACCATTGCCTATGCTGTTCATTATGTTATAGATAGCCGTTCGTAGCATTACATCTCTTTACATTTCTCTGTACAAATATCCTTCATTGTAAAGGAATATGATATGGTATTTATCCAACCATAAGTTTAGCCATAGCGGCATTGTACGGTGAAATGGTCAAGAATTCGACGTGAACCTAAGATATGGGTAACAAATGTATCAACCGAGGCGACATGCTACTTCATTACCATATACAAATCATTCTTCATCAGAAAGTAATAAGCTATTAAGAAAAAAGGTGTTTTTTTATCATTGCTGTGCATATGTATAGGTTTATCTAGACTGATATCATAGGAAGCTCATAATGCTTTATCATAAATAACATCACCTTATGATCACATATGCTTGTATTTATTTATTAAGTCTTCTTCCACAGCTTCAATTAAAATTATTTGAAATAATAACTTGACCTTGTTAGGTCCTTCATTCACCAAGATTCTTTGAAAAGCTGTAGTCAAAGTAACAGCTTGAAATTCAAATAGTTACCACGGATAACTAGTTTTATGCTTTTATTTTCAGTACATTTTACTTATACTGTGGTATGTTTATAATCGTTGAGTATCAGCAGCAGGCTGCAATAAGCCATAGTTCTGGAACCTGAGCAGGTGAGCGAACTTTTGAGAAAGACGCTGTGGAGCAGTGAAGACAAATGTTCCTAGCTTGGCTTTAACACTTTATTTACGTTGTAAATTTAGAGAGAAAAATACACTATGCAATTACTCTGCATAGTATTATGTCAGTGTTTGAATGACTTAACAATTAGAATTATATTTTGATCAAATATCCAAGATAAAAGCTTACACCTAGCTCATTGCCTCTAAAATTAGTTGTGCAACTAATTCTTGGACTTACAACAAAGCTGATCAGAAAAACGATCTTGCCGTGATAATTCTGTTTCCAGAACGTAGATATATATATATATTAACTTCCTATCAGAGCAAGCTACCTACTTTGGTCAAAACTGGTAATCAACCAAGTATTAAGTATAGCTAATTAAGGTGACATTGGGGTTGATAAAGTCACCCTTGAACTTTTAAAACAACCAATCAATATTTAAAACATGTACATTCAGATATTAACTCCTAAACGCTAATTTGCCAGATACAATATCCTGATGAACCAATGGGAAAACAGTAACAGTCCTATATGACCATTGACGACAAGCTTGAAATTCTACACACTGTAGTTGCTTTAAAGTAATAATAAACTATTCAAACCAATATAATATTCTAATATTTTCAATTTTCCATTGATTAAATTAAGTAAAATGGTATGCAATAAGCAATGTTAATGTTTATTTTACTAACAAGTTGCGGCTTTTTTTAAGTTCTTAGTAATGAATCTTAACTCCCCACTGCAGCCATTATTCTAATATACTTGCATGTCCGTTCAGTCCACCCATATAGAACTTCTCTGAACATATAAATAACAACAACTGAAACTTTGGCTTCCAGGAAACAATTTTCTTGTATCATCTTTTTTTTCATTTACTACTATCATTATTGCATCTCTGGAAATTGATCTTTCAGAGACGTGAAAATATCGGTCAATGCACCATACATATTGCCACCAGGAGCACTAGAACCAAAAAAAAAAAAAAGGATGATTTGACCTTTCTTCATTTTAATAGGTACACATATAACCGCTACTTTAGGTCATGTACAATTACTTTCAATACAAAAGAAAAAAATACATGGGATTGTAGCCGGTAAACGTTTCCAATAGACATTTGAAATGGATATTAATAAATAATGATTTTGGCTTGTTATATAAAATTACGTAACAGTATGCCATGTTGTGAAACACTGCTCAAATGAAACTGTAACATTGTTATAAAAACTCTCTAGAATAATGTGTTTAACATTATTTTACTTATCTAATTGGTGATTGGCTGAGTATTCATGTAGAGAGGACGATATTATTTCAAGTATGAAAACAAGAAACTTCTAAGAATATTTAGATTGTGTTCTCCATATGTAGTGTTAAACATTAAAGAAGTCTTACAAATCCAATCGCTATCGAAGGTTTAATATCTTAAGATTCATTAGGGCTACATATAGTACTTTTAACAATTATATAAAAGAAGGAATAGAGACAGTAAAGTTGACTACCAAGAGGTGACATGGAACGACAGAGATTAAAATGTTTGAAATTATGTATTGGAATGAACATACAGCATTGTGTACAGTTACACGTATGTAGTTAAAACAAATTAAGAAAAATTAAAAATATTAAATCTAATTTAATAATTTGGATTGTTAAAAAGTGCTTAACTAGCAGTGATAAATGGATTAACCCTCATTTCAGCTGGTATCTAAGAATTCTCAGGTTCAAATTGGAGCCGAGGAAAACTGGGGTCAGCATGGGTTGTCTCACATCCCTGGGAACAGGTCTTGTTTGTGAGGGGGGAATTTGGTAGTTTTAGTTGTTAAAAAGTGCTATGCTAGGAACTGTTAGTTGAGTTTATCTCTGTTGGTAGAGCACTCGTCTGTAGTATGATCTGCTCAGTTTTCAGTCCCGTTTGAGGAAGGTTAAAAAAAGTGGATTAACACACTAATATAAACAACTTATATCATTAATGTACAATATATTAGCATGTGTTTTTGTATTAATTATGTATTTAAATGTGGGTCTTCATAAAAAAAATTAAATGAAAACGTATATAATTTCTTCTGTTAATTATTGTGTGTGGCTACATTTTCAACTTCAATGAGATAGAAGAAGAGTATGAAAAATGTAAAATACAGGAAGTTCCAAATTTATCTTTCCTATTTTAAATTTGAATAATTGAATAACTAAAGAAATACAACCATGCAGTTTTCAACATCTTGTAGCCTAACTCAAACAATTTTTATTTATTGTTATTGTTGTTGTTGTTTCACTCCAGTGAGTAGTGTTACCCCATAAACTGACAACTGTGCAAGAAAAGGCTAAATGCAATGGATTTGTCGGGATGGGCCAATTCCATGGCCTCCGAGTTCCCCAGACGTCACTCCCCTAGACTTATTTCTTTGGGAGTTTGTTAAGGATATATCGTGTACCTATAGCAAACATCATGGAATTAAATACCAGGATAACGGATGTCATCGCCACCGTAACTACGGGCATGTTGCAGCGAAAGTGAACTGAAATCGAATATTGGTTAGATGTGCTGAGAGCCAGTAATGAAGTCTTCTGACTTTTAAAGTTGGGCTAGATGTTGAAAACTGCATGGTTGTATTTCTTTAGTTATTTAATTATTAATTGTTAAATAAGAAAGGTAATTTGGGACCACCTTGTACATCTGAGATGAGCAAATAGCTAATGGAAATTACTAAACGTACGTACTTTGTAAAGTAATTAAACTTATATAACATATGATATTTTAATCTTATAAACTTGTGTATAGTTAAATTAAGTTTCGTATAGTTACTAATGCACATTCATTACGTCATTTTCCTCAAATCATTATCTACTTTTCAATTATCCATAATTTCGATACAGATTAATAAAAATCATACATTAATGAAAGGGTTGTTTTACAGTCACGTGAAAAAGTTTTCGATGATGGAGAAAATGAACTCTTTCCTAAAGACAAAGACTCAGGTAACATAGTATTTGTGTGTATATTAAAATGTTTTATTTATATTAAAATGACACAATATATTTAAATATTTTGCTTATTAAACTAAAAAAAATATTTTTATTAAAAACTCATCACAATTTTTGTATAGCTAACTTTGACATTTTATCAAATATGTACAGAGTGATTTAACAAAACAGAAGATAAATATTTAATTACGTAAGCTTTCACTGCTAAACAGTTACTCAGTATTTGTCTAAAATTTTACTTTCAAACTCCGTTAAGTATTATAGTCTAGTTTTAGAAGCAGTGACTATCGGAACATTGTGAAATTTACCTTCTTCGCCCGAACAATATTAACGTGCTCATGTCCCAGGATAGTTAGGAACGTCACTGTGATTGGAAGTCATAGTTTTGTGTGTTTATCCTTCAAGAGGACTTATGAGGTTACTCTGATTAACGGTGTAGTTCTACGTTTTTTAATATTGTGACCTCAACAGAAGTGATAAGTTCACTGTGTCAATCAATATCGTTATATCTGAAATGAAAATTGATGAAAAGCGGATATTCACTACATTTATGTGTGTTTTCAGTCGCCTCGCGAGTCGTTCTCTGGTGAGTAAGCCTTAAAACTAGCTCCAATAATTTGGATTTCATGTATGAATGTGTAAAAACTCGGTTTTAACTATTTTCATTCTTATTTAATATTACAATAGGATGACTCTTTAATGTCATTACATCTATTAATCATTACTGTTAAACAGTACTTACACTTCAAGAAAACTAGTGAATTACTACGACTAGCAGTTTAGTTTTATGTATTATTATTATCCTGTGAACGTTACTGAGCTTATGAGATAATAGCGAACAGCAGAGTAGTTTTACGTGTTTCTCAATATTTGTACCTCGCGAGAACTACTGAGAATTCTGTGAGTAGCTGTATTATTTGATCTGTTTCTTGGTAATGTTGACGCTGTTTTTACCACAACAGATGCATGTAGAGGTTACTGTGAGTCCTCCCCCCCTTAGAAAAAAGAGTTTGGGGTTTACTACAAATAACAGTGTAGTTTTGTCTGTTTTCCGATTTGTCATCAGTAATGCTACCCCAAATAAACTATTGAGATTAATGTATTTAGCTGTGATTTGTATGTGTTCATGATATTAGTAACGGTATTGATAGGTATATACAGAGAGCTAGTTTATCTACTTTGATTAGCAGTGTAGTTTTATCTATACCCGGTATTGTTAACGATATTTATACCTTAACGAAACTAGTACGGTTACTACAACTTGCCGTTATTTTTTTTCTGTTCCTAAATAGTGTTATCTGTTTTTATACATCCAAATAATTATTCAGATTATTGTTTGTGGCTAGCAGTGTAGTTTTATGTGTTTCTCATTGTTATTAAGGGTCCTCATACTTCAAGACTTCTATTAAGGCTACTGTGACTAGAAGCACATTTCTAACTCTTTCTGCATTATTTAATAATACTCATACCTTAAAGAGAACTAAATTAATGTGACTAGCAGTTTAGATTTATAAGTTCCTCGATATTGTTAAACATCCTCATAACTCAAAAAACGCTTGAAAGATAACTGTAACTTACAGTTTGAGTTCATCGGTTTTCCGGTATTATTGGCGGTAATAATGTCTAAAGAGATTTTGCTTTAATTCTCAATGTATCTGTTTCTCGATGCCCCCAAAGAGCTAGTAAGTTTAATATGAGTTGAAGTGTGCCTTTATGTGTTTGCCAGTATTACAGTATTATTCTCCTCAAGTGAGGCTACTGCGATTAGCAGAGCAGTTTTATCTGTTTCCTGATATTTTAACGGAAATCTTGCTTCAAAAAAGCTGGTAAGGTTACCGTAGCTGACAGTTTTATAGATTTTCAAAACTGGAAATGTTATTAATATGTCAATACAACTGTTGGCTTTACTAAGACAACAGTCTTGTTCAATGTGTTTTCTGGTATTCTTAGCAACACTAAAATCTCAAAACAGCTATTGAGTTTACAGTGACTAGCACTGTAGTTTTATCTGTTTTGCGTTCTTTTAAACGGTACTTTTATCTCCCAGGAGCTAGTGAGTTTACTGCGGATAGCAATAATTTTATGTGTTTACTAATATTTTAATTGTACTTATATCCAGGATCGTCGAGTTCTTTCAGGACCCCCAGAGAAGGATTGGTGTCAACCACTTTTCTCAATCAATTACTCTCCTCCCTCCCAAAATATTGAAAAAAAAAATAAACTGGCATACACAGCAATACATACATCTTTGTAGCATATTTGTCAGCTAACTGTGGAACAGCATTACGACATGTGACTATTGCAATCACTTTGATTGTCAAACGAAATGGCAGCTTCAGTGAATAGAACAACGGATGAAATAATGCATTTAAAGCATAACAGATTGCAACATTTAATTGTTTATTACAAATTACATACAGTCTTGAAGTGCGCTTATAATGCTGTATCTTACTACACTATTGTGATTGAATATTTATTCAAATTTTAAGGGTCTATAGAGTCTAAATCCAGCCAGTGGCTTTTAGAGTGAAGATCCCATTATCTCTGAAAAAAAGCAGTAAAACCAGAGTCTTACTGGTATTGTGTCTGTGACTGTTGTTGAATGTTAAAATATTATAATCCTTCGGACTGGGATTGCCAGGACTTTTAGAGTGGGGATCACATTGACCTCAGATCAGTAACAAGAAAAGATCAGTAAATATTAAGATCATTTTGTGGCTACTACTGAATCTGAAATATTAAAATCCCTCGGACTGTTTTTCTTAATTGAAAAGAGAACTACTTCTTAAGCACACCGGAAAAGAAAGTACTAGATAATAAACCTGTTACAAATATATATAAGGATAAACAAAATAAATAAGAGCTTCCACTTTACAGAAACGCGCTGATGAAGTTTCTCAATGAGAAAACCTATATTTAAAAAATATCTTAAACGTTTCTCAAAAATCATTCGTGGACTCGTTTTCGAAACACTGAACAATTTCAGGTGTTTGTGTGGTTTTTAGTAATTATACATTATTTAATTATTGAATGTAAAATATGTTACGTAATCCAGATCCAAAGATGGAGAACACTACAACATTGTAGGAAGCTGCAGTACTGTGTAGTGTAATACAACTAGATCGTATAGCCCATCAAAAATGACAGAGCAAGTACTAACACCCAGAACCCCATAGTATACCCTAACCTCACATTTCATAGCTAACTGAAGTAAATAAATTTTGCGAAAT